TGCCAACCTTAAAATCAGACTTTTTATTGCCAGTACAGTGAATAAACTCAAGACTTTCCAATGAAAAACACCAGCAGCACATAAAATGCAAATTTGTGTCTCAATACCCATTTTCCTTTAAGGTTCAAGGAGCAGAAGTCTTGTTTTCTGCATCTTTTGCACCTGACCCTTAAAGTTCATCAGCTTTCACATTTTTGTTAATTTTTTGAAATTAAGTGAAACACCTCTTCAGAATTAGACTACACAAATCATGTGTTATCATATGTTCATTCAAGTGTGAAAAAGTACAGCTCAGATTCTAGCAACACAATGAACAACAGCGATTTCTTCCATTTCAAATAAATTTAAAATAAATAATTTCAATTAAATTAACAGCTTCAACCACAACAGCTGTGTAGTATATAAAAACAAAAAACTACAGAAAATTAATCTTGCTATTGTTATCTAATCATATCTAACAACAGGAATTTTCTGAGTCAATCAATACCAACATTTTCTAAGCTAAAACCCAGATCTAAGAATGACACAAAAAACCCAGATCTAAGAATGACAATGAAGCTGTAAAAACACTATGTTAAAAACAGACATTCTTCATTAAATGAGCTAACTAGACTTTTGCGTTACAATTAACTTTGGTCATGTTCTCAATGTGCTTGGATCTCCAAAGGCCTGGTAACTTTATGATACATAGTTTATCTATAACAATGTAGTACAGCCTTCTAGTTCTTTTGTACAACTCATCTAATGATGGCTTAACCAAAGAAAACTGGAATCATCTTGTATGGTGGTTCTGATCTCAGGCACATAACAGACCTATGACACAAAAGGATCTATGAGAGCAGTGCAAATACAAAAGCTCAGTGACTGGGGAGAAAATAAGAAAAAGAAATTATAAAAAAAGAAAAGAAAAGAAAAAAAGAAAAAAGGCTGTATGGGTTTTCTCAGTGGCTGTTTACTATTTTGCCTTCTGGCTGATGAAAAAAGTTATCTTCTTTGAGTTTAAGATGTTCTGGTAGATCTAGCTGTCTTTTTGCTTCTTCAATGTCTTCCTGAATTGCCAAAATGAGTGCATCTGAAAAGGTAGAATAGGGATATTTAAAAGTTTGTATTCTGAATATAGTAATGAGTGAAAATAAGGCACCACAAAATATCAAACAACATTCACAGAAGCAGATTAAAACTATGAGGTTTGAATGGCAGAATTCTTTTGCTTTCAAAATGTCCTTTTTTTAACATGCTAAAGTTACATTTCTACCCATTACCAGCACTATCCTCTTCGTTTGCCAAAACACACGTTAGCAGTTCTGTTTCAATGCTAACAAAATTGCATTTTTAGAAGAAATTAGTACACTTGACTTTTATGACAAGCCCATGTTTTTAACATTACTCCTCAGACAAGTGAAAGAAAAGTGAAGATTTTAATGTGATACATAAGAAGGTGTGGGAATATGTTGGGGGTTTTTTTAATTATTCATTTTACTGAAATTTCAAAGGTTAACCAATAAAACATCTCATGATGGAAGGAGGTACAGTGAAGACACAGAACTTGCACGAGTAAAAAGAAACTAGTTTGAGGGAGACCTCCAATACTGACCTATGGAATCAAAGTTTTTTTCCGGTCGAATGTATCCAGTTATGACTATACTAAGAATTTCTCCATAAAAGTCTTCTTTGAAGGTGTGGATAATGTGTGTTTCCTAAAGGAAGACAAGTAAGTGGACAATTATTATTAACTTAATTTACTTCCCTCTCTGTAAGCATTTAGGCCTATTATCCAACATTCAAATGCTCAACAGATAAAAAATAAAAAGGATATTTAGTATAGCATGTATAATCCAAAATTAAGAGACCACAGCTTTAGTTTGTATTAGGAAGTAGAATTGCACTCTGCATGGAACTAAAAAAATTGCTCCCTTAAAGAGTAAAAATTGTGTAAAGAGAAAAAGAAAAACATGAAAAACCAAACCAGTCAACAAAAAAAACAACAAAAAAACCCGAAAAACAAACCAAAACAAAACCAAAAGAACAAAAAGCCCCCAAATCAATTAAAAAGACCAAACAAATTAATTAAAAAAAAAACAAAAACAACAAACCAACCACAGCCCCAGACATCAGGACAAATGCTTCAAACCTTCTCAGAGGTAAGATTTCCAAGGCAGGAAATGTGAATGTTTCATCAATATTCAAATAACTGTGAAGATTTTCATAGAAGTAATTGGCTCAAGGAGAGCTTTTACAACTACCTCCTAAGGGAACTGAATGAGAAAATTGAAGAGCAAGTCCAGACAAAACCCTGGTTCCACCTGACAGTCAAAACCTTTTCATGCACATCTTCATCTCCAAATCAGGTCAACTCATAGCATCTACCAGCAGCTGTAATTTGGGAATCTTTTAACTACTTGCTCATAAAAGTTATCTGCGAAAAAATTTTACACTATATGTTTACCCAAGACAAACACTGAGAAGTCAAGATTCATGTACAAATAAAGTTGTTTTCAACAAATAAAAGTGAGCACTGCAAGTCTCAGGAAAAGCGCCAGCACCTGACAGCAAAAAAACCCACAGCTGTCAGGTGCTCAGGATTTTAACTTCTCCATCTTTACATCCTTTTATGCCTTCAAATATTTATTCTGTACATTAAGATGAAGCATCTCATGTATGGATTCCATCATTTAAGAGAAGAATTAATTAAAAAATAATTACAAATTAAGCTGCCCAAACATCTCCTATCTGAAATGCAGATACATTGCAGAGAACAACAGATTATTACTATGTTCCAGTTTATGCTAGGGCTCTCATAACCAGTAAATTCAATGCATTTACCAAGTTTATGCTCAATTTGCTATCAGCAAGTTAAGCAATCATCATTTCAAGTACTGTTATATTTTAATTTTGGATGCAGTCAAGAAATGGTGGAATAGAAGAAAGAAAAACTTTATTCCATTTCATCTGCATACTTTCTGGTAACAGAGACTATAATCCTCTCAGAACATAAATCTTACATAGATAACAAATGCATTTCTCATGGTGCACAAATTCAATAAAATTCTGTCTTTTGTTACAAAAAAAATCCCACAAAAAGTAAAATTCTTACCACTGATTTCTTAATATTCTTATAGAAGGGATTCCATCCTATGCTCAAAACCATTTTATGCACATCTCCATTTCCAACACAGGCCCATCCATAGTATATACCAGTAGGGATATCAGATGGAAAGCTTTCAACTACTTGCTCAGAAAAGTTAGCTGTAGAAATTGTATAAAGTGTGAGTGATTTTGTGTAAGTCAAGTATATAACAGGATCTTCAAATACTTAAAAGCTAAACTCTGCCTACATACTATTTACAAACATAACACTGGTGATGATAAGAATAGTGCAACATACCACTGGCAAAACATAATATAGCTACATAAATCAGTCACTGTGGCAATACCAGAGTTATTACATCTCCTACATACATACACAGTGTATTGTATAGTTTTCTTTCTCTTCTGCAATAACAAGTAATAAATACATTATACAGCCACAACACATTTCATTCTTAGGACAATTACTATCATAGCTTTACTATGATGAAAAATGAGAAAAAAAATCAACTTTCTTCTGCACTGTAAAATAGCATCAGAACTATTTATTACTGAAATATTTACTGGTGAAATAAACAATGTAAAAGCAAATGTGATAATTGTTTAGTCATGTGTCAGTTTTGCACAAGTTCCCTTTCAGAGGCATTTGTGCCTCTGAAAAATCCCTGTGGATTTGAGATTTCCTTTGAAAACTACATACTTAGAGTAAAACAAAATCCTTTTGACTGAATTTAACCCTCTCTCAATATTACTATCCTACCTCTATTTCCCAGCAGAACAGGTCTCTTCATGGAAGATATCAAACTGATTTCAAAGAATTTACAGTTACAAATTTTTATCTAAGCTCACAGACAGTAACAGCTTCCTTTCCCTGTTCCCTAATATCAACACATCAGTTATAACCAATCAAGAAAAAAATGTGAAAAGTTCTCAGAAACAGATGTCAGAAATCCAGCACCACAAGAGTCATCTAATAAAGTTTCATGTCTGTTAGATGTAGTGCAATATGACTACTGACTTCAGTCTGATTAAGTAAGGTCAAAATTCTCTCGCAGTGGTATTCATTTGCCTGCATTTAGACAACTGAAACAGAGATGGGCAACAGGAAAACATATTCCCTGTAGGCCAAGCCCACTTGCTCTGTTTCAAACTCTGCTTTATTTCCCTTAAACTTTCTTCCCTGTAGCGATTCCCAATGCCTACTCCCTTTCTTAATCATATCGTAGGTTTATGCAAAGGAATATTTCCCAGGCTGCCATACCACCGCACCGAGAATGTGACACTGATCTACATCCTGTACATCGTGACGATCACTAGATGAGAAAAGAAACATCAATATTCAGGGAAACCTCTTTACATTGGGGTGCAGGGAAAAATACAAGGGAAAGTGCAAGACTCTGAGCAATGTTGTGGGGGTGGGGGGGGAGAGAAGCGTCAGGGAAACGCTGGTAGGTGACAAGGCAGGGCCGTTCCCGGAAAGCAGAAGTCATGACAACAGCGCAGCTGCGTAGGGCAGCCGGGCGGCCGCCGAGGTCAGGCGAGCTTAGTCGCAGCGCTGCCGCACCGCTGCTCGGCAGGAGCACGGCACGGCTCCGCTCGAGGAGCGCGACAGGGACCGGCTGCGGAGCCCCGGCCCAGCGTCTCNCCCCTGCCGAAGCCCTTCACCACCTCCCCGCGGCAGAAGTACGGCAGCTGCCTCATGGCCCCGCGCTGAGGCGCCGGCGCCCCGGGCCCGCTGCGCCGCTCACCACCGCCTCCCGCGTGAGGCGCTACCAACGAGAGGGGAGGAACTGGGCGGCACGCTCGGGCCTGCGAGCCACACAACGCTTCGGCGGCTCCTCCCCACCCTCCACAATGGACGTGCTCGCGCCGCACGCCCAGTGTGCCCGCCCTCGACGGGGGACGGCGATCCCCGGGGAGCGGGGTGGAGCGGGGCGGTGATCCCGGCCGCAGTGGGACGGCCATCCCCGGGGAGCGGGGCGGTGATGCGGGCCGCAGTGGAGTTGCGGCGGAGGGCGGGCGCCGTGCGCTGCGAGCCGCTGTCACTCGTCACGGCCACCGCCGTGCCCTTTGCTTCTGTCCACGGGTTTCGTCACTCTGGGCTTCCCGAGGGCAGCTGGGTCTGTCCCGTCGTGCAGTTTCTTCCATGGAAACCGCAGTGACTTTTGTGCACCAGCTGCCACGTCCCGACCCTCTAACCCGAAAGGCTGCGCCTCGCACCCCGCGCCCACGCGTGGAGACAGGGATTTCTGCTCCCTCGGCAGCGCCAAGGTTGGCCTTTTCGCCCAGAAAAGGCCGAACGCTTCAGTGCACAGCAGACATTCAGGAAAGCCACGGGAACAGGTCTTTTTGTGACATGCTCCAGCGAGCGACAGTCGCTTAAAACAAAACAATAATCCGAAGAACCAAAGCCCAAACCAAACAGCAAACCAAACTAAAACCAAACAAAAGTCACAAATCATTCTTGCTCACCTCTGCTTTACCAACGTGCTCACGTCTCCCGCTGTTATCGCCGCTAGTGCAGAGATAGTTTTCATTTATTTTTATTTTTATTTTTACTTTTTTTTTTTTTTTTTTTTTTTAACGAATCCATCTTTTCAGAGCAGATGTTGTTTTTGTGATATCCACACGATGGCACGCAGTGACTTCTTTTTCAGGGTCTGGCTTTGGGCAAGAGGTTTACAATCTCAGTGACTGAGAAGAATCTGAGAAGTACTAAGTCAAGGAAATATTTTTAAGAACTATGTGGTTAAGTAATTTCACAGAAGTCTAACTGACGATTTCTATTCATTCTCTCAAACAATTGTAACATTAATAATTTTTAACAGTAATCATGATGGGCTGCCATGACCCAGCTAAAACATTAGCCATCCTTCATACTATGTCCTCATTTTTCTTTTGTAAAGTAAACTAGTTCATATTGGAGGGTGGGGGAACCTTGAACAAGTATTTAATTATCTCTGAAATATAGAGTAGTTAACTCTACTAAAATTTAGTACAGTTAGTAGACATGTTTGTTCCAAAAACATCATCAAATGTTAGTGATGAGCATGTCTGCTAGGGAGAGAAAACAAACTGATACTTCCTACCTCCAGTGAGAAAACTCAGGTGCTATTTCAGACAGCTAGAGAAGAACATCTGTTCCCTATTTATGCTATTTTACCTATAATTATTGTCAGTGAAAAGCATTTTTCCTTTTTTCCAGGATATGCATACAGCCACAGGAACCAGAATAAAGAAAAGAGAGCACATGTTACATCATCTGTGTGGGACCCATATCAGGTTACCTAACTGAGCTTTGAGAACTCATCATACTTACCAACATTTAATGCAGAGTATAACATACTCTGTTCATCTTGTTTTACAGTAAAACATAAGACTTGTATCACATCACAACACTGTGCCTGAGTCCCTGTTTCTTACTACTGTGCTGCAAAAGTCTGCATTCTTATGCAAGGCTTAAGGTGAGAGCAGGAATATCCTGTTTCCTTTCATGTGGTGTGGAAAAACAGCAGAACCATATCTTCTGGATACTGGAATATTTTATGTCTGTCCCAGCCAAACTGGAAATTCTGGTTACACCAGGCTCATTGAAATATTCAGGAGCTGACTCAGAGAAAAGTGTGACATGTAGTAAAACTAGTAGCATTTTAACCAGTTCCTTGGGAGTTTCCATTCCCAGCATGACAAAACACTCATTGATTCAGGAGTTCAATTCAAGGACACTGGCACTCCTTACTTTTAGTGTGCTGAAACCAGGTGATGAAAACACAGATATGTACAAAACACTCTTTACTGAATGTCTAACAAATACCTGTTTTGAAAGTACTTTTTCTGTATTTTAGTCCAGAATAGAAAACCACAGAAGTTATTATTTCACTTTTTGAAAAAAATTATCTTTATTTTTAGCAGTCCAAAGTTTTGTTCTAATTGAATAGACTTTCTTCTAAGAAAAATATCTGTGTATTAGTATGACGGTTCCAAGACTGTGTTCAATTACAGTGAAGTGACAGGTGCTATGAATGTCTGTTTAATAAGGCACAGCTGATATTATCTGCTGAACATCTGATAATTACATAGAATTCTAAGAACTACCATTTGTATGTTACTGAACTGTGTGTGAAAGACAGAACTGGTGCATTTCTGGTATTACAGAAATATTACATAAAGCCACAGAACTTGTTGCTTTTTGAAAGTTTATGTCGATTCTGAAGACTTCATCCAGCTTTTGAATTCCTGTTTCTCTCTCTGGTGTTTTTCCTCCACACCAAATCATCAATTAGCTCCTTGAAAAATACACAGCATTGCTTTCAGCTAGCTTCCCATTGTCTCTGCACAGCACTGTGTTGTGCCATCTGGACATGCTTCATGTTTAGTGCTCAAAATTCTCAAAATTTTAATACTTCTTAATCAACCAAGCTTTTTTTTTTTTTTTTTTTTTAGCCTTTAAATATATTTTAAGGTCCCTCCCTCTTTGTTCATTTTCAAAAATGGTTTAACAGATGTCTCAGATTAAGCAACTGTAATTACTGATTAGGCTGAATTATATGATGGCCATCTAAATAGCAGGTGTTTCATCACACTTTTTTTTTTGCAGCCACAGTTGACCCAGATCAAAACATTTGTGACCAGTCTGTTCCATATTATAAAACCAACCTTCAATTAATTGTTTGGCAGAATATTCAGAAGAATCCTACCTACAGAGGCTTTGGCAGCACAAGAAAAGTAATGCAGGGCAAGGCAGCTAAGGCAGCTTACCACCTTGAAGATAACAAAATGAGATTCTTTTATGTTTGACAGACTCTGGTTCAAAATATCTTGCATTTCTCAACAATCAACAGAGACTGCTATCAGGAGTCTCACAATGGAATGTAGAAGAACAAGACTGGGGATCTAGGTGACTAAGGTTAGGAGATGTTTACTGTTATTGTCATGATGTTTGCAGATGAGTAGATGTTAGGCAACTTGGAGGTCAGTGTCAAGCTACATCTGCAAAAATGGTATGCAAGAACTGTAAGAAATTGTGTGTAAGAAATGTATTACAGGAAGTAATTGAGATAGCTGAGATCTTCTAAGAAACTAATAAACAGTGGGACAGGTAATGTTTTTTTCAGCTCATTAAATTTAAGAAATACTAGGAATAACTTAATTACAGATTTTGGTGACTCTACATAATTTCTACTTCTCATAAGTTTTAAAGCAAAAAAAAAAATTAGATACCAAGATATTTTGTGACCTAGACCTTAATATGACTTGGCTCTTATTTTCTGCTTTTCATAGGGGAGAATAGAAGACAAAAGTGCTAAATGTTTATAGATAAAGGAAAAAAGGGAAAGGCCTGTTAGAAGGGCATAAGCTCAAGTGGGAATGAGTATGGAGATGAAAGAAGCAGATATTTGAGTTCATGAAGCTTCTTAAGTTTGGGAACACTTTACAAAAGAAAGTAAATCAGTTTGTCAAAACTGGTTGTCTTTACTGCAGGACTTGGTTTCACAATGACATAAAGAATAAAAAGATTGAACCAGTGACCACTGAATTAATTCATGGAAATACCATGAAGGACAGTATACTCTCAAAATCACAAGCGATGTATTGCCCCAGTGGTAGATTTGCTTTTTTTATGTCCAGGAGTATCCTGGTCAGAAGGCACTGACCTCTGTTCTGTTTAAAGGAGTGATTTTGTTAGTTTTCAACCTATGAGGGAAAAAAGTTTTTCACCTTTGCAATAACATCAGAAAGAGCAGAAAATGAAAATTATTGTCCTAGTGACTGACATTGCAGGGAGGATGTAATGAAGGAAGTAGCTACAATGTTTTTCTGTGCATGCTAATTATAATTTTTAAGATCATTTACTTCTTTCCTTCCCTGGACTTGCTGTTCCAGCCTTGATCACAGAGTAAGCAACAGGTGAGTAAACAAGAAAGATTCTGGTGAAAATTCCTTATTACTAAAAGGAATCTGTATTTTGTAATATTCCCGCTGCCATCAATATGTGATGCACATTCAAGGCATGCCTGTGACAGCACTGTCATCTGTATAAGGCAACTACTCTTTCAACAGCAATCTTCTACTTCTTCAATAGCAATCTTACTACTGCCTATTAAAGAAATAGCCCTAATAATTGCTCATGTCTGCCACTGCAAAGAAATTATTTTCTCTTCAAACGTGCCATTTGACCACAAACTCGTGCTTTCTTAACACAGGAAGTATTTGCACAACAGCAATGGAAAAATGTTAGCTATAATTTCCTTGATTTTTGGGCTCCATCCCATTTGCCATGCACACAATCCCTGTAGTCCTGCAAGCAACCCGTGCCAGACACAACAGTGCTGCGAACAGAAGAGTTAGGCTGGATCAGTCTCCCAAAAATGGCCTCACTATGGGCAGAGTGTAATCACTTGTTCTTGCTAGTAAGCCTAGCTGGGTGCTCCCCTACACATTTTCTTAATCACACCAAAGCTGTGAATACAAAAGGCATGTACAGAGAAGAATCCCGGAAGTAATACAAGGCTTGCTCAGAATAACACAGCTGGTATGTTTGTTGCTAAATTAATTATATTGTGGTAACACTGTGTGCTGCTTCTTCGATTTTGCCAGTTCAGCTGCATCCAACTGCAATGAAAATGACTGATTTTCTAATTGGGAATTATAATTAAAAATCACTCTTCCCTCCATCTCCCCCCCAAACCCCACCCCCTCAAAAAACAACAAAAAAGCTTTCTATACAAAGGAAATAAAACCAAACAAAACCCCAAAGCTCAGGATTGTTTTATGACATCTCCTATTCCACTTACTTTCTCAAGGGTATCCTGAGCTGCAGAGGTTCAAAACAAGTCATCTAAATCAGTACCAGCTTCATGTGGAGATTTCTAACCACTTTTTCTACATCATTAATATCCCTACCTCCTGCACACAGATCACTCATTCTGCCCCACATTGTTTACACTGGGAAAGAAATAGCAGTGGGAACCCATAACTTATGCTGCAAAACAGGTTGAGCAGAAAATTCAGTAGAGCCTGTTTTATATTACAGAACTAATTACCTCCAAAACCAAGGGTTTTTCATAGACATCATCTGTTTAGTATCAGATGTGTTTAATGAAAAGATTAATATAATCCTTCATTGCCTAAAAAGTAAACCAGAAATTCATGAATGCTGTCAACCCTGTACTTGCACATATACTTGGCAACCAGAATGTACTAACATGGAATAGATATTTTGAGATATTGCAAAACATTTACTAATGAATGAGAAAGGGCACCATATTCTGGAGTGGTTTGAATAATTTTCTACTTCCTTCCTTGACAGCAGAGAAGAAATAGTATTTTCTCACATCAGACAAGTGACTTCAACTATCATTAACCATCTCTGTAGAAAAGTAAGAAAGTGTCACAAAAGCATTCAGATTGTTTTATCTGATGCTGAGAATATAAAAAAACTAAACCTAAGTAAACTAACTCTTCTTTTAAGGAGAAATCAAGCCATGGAAGAGAATCTATATAAACATCTGTTTTGATCCACACATTTGTTTTTATGCAAATATTTAATAAATGCTTGCAACCCATAGTAGCCCTATAAACTAGAATATAGGTTTCTGAATCTGTTGTCTTGTGAAAGAACTTCGGATCATAAAATGGTTTGGGTTGAAAGGGACCTTAAAAATCCTTTAGTTCCAACCCCCAATAAAGGAGGGGACACCTTCCACTTTGCCAGATTACTCAGAGCCCCATCCAACCTGGCATTAAAGACTTCCAGGGATGAAGCATCTGCAGCTTCTCTGTTACAGCACCTAACCAGCCTCACAGCAAAGAATTTCTTCCTTATATCTAACACATATAAACAGTTTAAAGTCATTACTCCCTGTCTTATCACTAAATATTCCTGTTAAAAGTCACTCTCACCCTTTTTCTTAAGCCTGCTTTAGGAATTGAAAGTCTACTCTTAGGTCTCCCCGGAGTCTTCTCCAGTTTGATCAACACCATCTCTCTCAGCCTCTCATTCACAGGAGAGGTGCTGCAGTCCTTTCATCATCTTAGTGGCTCTCCCCTGCATTTGCTACAAAAGGTCATTGTGTTGAGGGACCCAGAGCTGGATGCAGCACTCCAAGTGGGGCCTCATAAGAGCAGAGTAGGGGGGCAGAATCCACCCCCTTGCCCTGCTGGCCATGCTGCCTTTGATGTAGCCCAGGATACAGTTGGCTTTCTGGGCTGCAAGCATGTGGCCATGACACTTTTTTGTGACACACTTTTTTGAAAAAAGAAACTTTTTTCTTGTTGGCCAACATGCCCAAGTTCTTCTCTGGGCTGCTTTCAATCCATTCTCCTCCCAGCCTGTATTTGTGCTTAGGATTGCCTTGATACAAGGACATTGTGCTCAGCCTTGTTGAACTTTACAAGCATGGGCCCACCTCTCAAGCCTATCAAAATTCCTCTGGGTAGCAACCCTGTCCCCCAGTGTGTTGACCATGCCTAATAGCTTAGTGCTGTCAGCAGACTTGCTGACTTAATAGCAAATGACCCAGAATTTTGATATATTTCAAAAAATGTTTCAGAAGCTGTGAAATAACACACATCTTCAGCAAATACAGTTACACTTTTTCTAATCTTGCAGTTCACCACACTCCCCTGTTTCTGATACCTCACTCTCCACACTGCTCCTCAATCAACAACTAATAATCCTCCAGAATGTTGAATTTAGGAACAAAGAAACAAGCAAATTTTGTAAAGCATGGTGCAGTTGCCATTTCCTTCGGGAGCCTGTTCCAGTGCCCAACAACCTTCTGGGTGAAGAACCTTTTCTTGCTATCCAACCTACACCTCCCCTCACACAGCTTCAGGCCATCCCTTTGGGTCCATAGAGAAGAGATAAGTGCCTGCTCTTCCTCTTCCCCTCACAAGAAAGCTGCAGACTGCAATGAGCTCTGTCCTCAAGTCTCCTCCAGGATAAACAGACCAAGTGACCTCCTCTGCTCCTCATAATACAGCTTCCTCTCAAGGCCCTTCAACCATCTTGGTGACCCTTCTTTGGACACTTTCTAGCAGTTTCATGTGTTTCTCATACTATTACACCCAAACCAGCCCCCAGCCCTGCAGGTGAGGCTGCCCCAGCTCAGAGCAGAGCAGGACAATCCCCTCCCTTGCCCCGCTGGTGATGCTGTGTCTGATGCCCCCCCAGGACAGGGTTGTCCCTCCTGGCTGCCAGGGCACTGCTGGCTGATGTTCAACTTGCCGTTGACCAGGACCCCCAAGTCTCTTTCCATGGCACTGCTTCCCAGCATCTCATTTCCCAGTCTCTCCATACATCCAGGGTTGCCCCATCCCAGATGAAGAAACCAGCACTTTTTCTTGTTGAAATGGTTGGTGATTTCCCAAACCTTGAAATGGTTGGTGATTTCCCAAACCTTTGTTGAGGTCTCTCTGCAGGGCCTCCCTGCCCTCGAGGGTGTCAACAGCTCCTCTGAGTTTTATATCATCTGTGAACTTGTTCAATATCCCTTCCAGTCGTACATACAAGCAATTTATGAAGATGTTGAAGAGCACAGGGCTGAGCATCAACTTAAAGATCAAGCTAATTCTGATTTCAGATAAATAAGCAGTTGGTTAGTTTAAATAATCAGTAGATTTTTTAAAAATCAATTTAACAGTAGTGGCTTTAATAAAAATGAATTACAGGGGTGCCTCCCTTTATACTTCACTTTTTCACAGTATAATGAAACCACATCAGTTTTGCTCCTGTGGGCTAGTTGTATACATTTCCCAGGAATATGGATTTTTCAGTTTCAAACTGGTAAGAAGACTAAGTGATTTTTATTCATAGATTCCAAAGTTGAGGTAATTATTTCCTGTGCATTATTTGGTATCATATATAATGATTTTTATTCAATCAACTTTTGATCTTGAATGAATATCTGAAGAATCATGACCAACACAGTAAAGAACCTATAACATGTACTTGCTTTAATGCCAAATCCTCAGCATGTTCAGCACTTCACTTTATGCCTCTTCACAATTAGAATATGCAATGCAATATTTGCTGTGGAGGGGACTGTTGCAGTGTGTTTTTGTTCTTTATATTGTTAATACTATGTTCCTGAAATTGGTACACTCTGTCACCCCTCAGTTCATTTGGTTTATTCCAAGTTGTGCTCTCTTACCCTAGTTGTCTATCATACCCTGGACCTGTCCCTTTTACCCAGAAAATTCTTGGTCTTTCCTCCCATTGCTTTGTCAGTCCCACTTTGTGTTCTAGAGACTTCTATGCCAATCATATATTGCTCAAAGCCCCATTGGTTTATGTAAGTTGTTCCCTCCCCCTCTGTATGTCCTCGTTGGTTTCTATATTGTAAACCCCGCCATTTGGTTCGAGAGTGTACCCTCCCCTAGACCCTCCCATCTTTAAAAGTCTCTGCAGCTTCTGGTTTTTCTGTCTTTTGTCCCTGGACCCTCCCTGGAATAAAACCTTCTTTGGAACCCGTACAGAAGACTTCCTCCTCATCCCTACCTCCACTTGTACCTGATGACCAAACTGTGCCCTAGAGCGTTTGGTCTGAGTCCCACCTTGGGTCATCCTGCGCCCAAGGGATGTCCCACTCTTGGCAGGGAGCTGTGGGAGATCTAGCCAGCTCTCGTTCCATGTCAGGGAATGAGGATTTTTAAAAATCTTTTTGTTGTTGAACACAGCTCTTGCCACGTGTGTGTAGGAAAGGAGAAACAGGATGAATGATATACAATTGTGTCTTTATTTTTGTGCGAATATCAGACCAGTTTTCTAGAATAGTCTGCCAATACACTAGTTTATACAGAAGCCCTACAGCAGTATGTCAAAAGAAACAGAACTGTCAACACTGGACCTTACTCTGAGATTTTAATTAATATTTGTATGTTTTGTGTTCAGACCATAAGTTTCCTTGATTATATCTTGAAATATTACTCAGGAAGTAGCTGCAAGAAGCAAAAGTTGCAAAATATTTGGACAGTAATATCAACGACTGCAGCAATGCAATCTCTACATCTATGCAGAACATTTAATCAGTAAACCTAAGAGCACTTCACTGAATAAATAACTGCCTTCTCTATTTGATCCAGAAACAACAGATAGAAGAAATCCATACATCAAGTCCTCTTTCGTCTTGGTTTGCATTAGAAACACTGT